TCTCAATGTCCTGTGCTCATTTTCACTGTGAACCAAAATTGCTTCCCCAAAACACATGTGTTTAAAAAGATAATGCCTCAATGTTAAGTGTTATGAAAAAAAAGGCTGTAGCTTTTGCTGTGCAGAAGCTCCTTAGTTTAATTAGATCCCATTTGTCAATTTCGGCTTTTGCTGCCCTTGCTTTTGGTGTTTTAGACATGAAGTCTTTGCCCATGCCTATGTCCTGAGTGGTACTACCTAGGTTTTCTTCTAGAGTTTTTATGGTATTAGGTCTAACATTTAAGTCTCTAATCCATCTTGAATTAATTTTCGTATAAGGAGTAAGGAAAGGATCCAGTTTCAGCTTTCTACTTATGGACTAACGCCAATTTTCCCAGCACCATTATTAAATAGGGAATCCTTTCCCCATTTCTTGTTTCTCTCAGGTTTGTCAAAGATCAGATGGCTGTACATGTGTGGTATTATTTCTGGTGAGGACTCTGTTCTGGTTCCATGGTCTATATCTCTGTTTTGTACCAGTACCATTGCTGTTTTGGTTACTGTAGCCTTGTAGTATAGTTTGAAGTCAGGTAGCGTGATGCCTCCAGCTTTGTTCTTTTGACTGGGATTGTCTTGGGCAATGCGGGCTCTTTTTTGGTTCCTATGATACTTTAAAGTAGTTTTTTCCAACTCGGTGAAGAAACTCATTGGTAGGCTTGATGGGGATGGCATTTGAATCTATAAATAACCTTGGGAGTATGGCCATTTTCATGATATTGATTCTTCCTATCCATGAGCATGGTATGTTCTTCCATTTGTTTAATGGTCCTCTCTTTATTTCACTGAGCAGTGGTTTGTAGTTCTCCTTGAAGAGGTCCTTTACATCCCTAGTAAAGTTGGATTCCTGGGTATTTTATTCTCTTTGAAGCAATTGTGAAGGAAGTTCATTCCTGATTTGGCTCTCTGTTTGTCTGTTATGGTATAAGAATGGCTTGTTGAATTTTGCACATTAATTTTGTATCCTTGGAGACTTTGCCTGGAGTTGCTTATCAGCTTAAGGAGATTTTGGGCTGAGGACATGGGGTTTTCTAAGTATACAATCATGTCATCTGCAAACAGGGGACAATTTGACTTTTTCTTTTCCTAACTGAATACCCTTGATTTCTTTCTTCTTGCCTGATTGCCCTAGCCAGAACTTCCATCCACTATGTTGAATAGGAATGGTGAGAGAGGGTTCCCTGTCTTGTGCCAGTTTCAAAGGGAATTTTTCCAGTTTTTGCCCATTCAGTATGATATTGGCTGTGGGTTTGTTCATAAATATCTCTTATTATATTTGAGATATGTTCCATCAATACCGAATTTATTGAGCGGTTTTTAGCATGAAGGGCTGTTTGAATTTTGTCAAAAGCCTTTTCTGCATCTATTGAGATCATCATGTGGTTCTTGTCTTCGGTTCTGTTTATATGCTGGATTACGTTTATTGATTTGTGAATGTTGAACCAAGCCTTGGCTCCAGGGTTGAAGCCATTGATCATGGTGGATAAACTTTTTGATGTTGCTGCTTGAATCCGTTTGCAGTATTTTTACTGGGGATTTTTGCATTGATGTTCATCAGGGATATTGTCGAAAATTCTCTTTTTTTGTTGTGTCTCTGCCAGCTTGGTTTCAGGTGATGTTGGCCGATAAAATGAGTTAGGGAGCGATTCCCTCATTTTTCTAGTTGGTGAATACGTTTCAGAAGGAACTGGTACCAGCTCCTCCTTGTAACCTTTGGTGTGATTCAGCTGGTGAATCCATGTGGTCCTGGCTTTTTTTTGGTGGTAGGGCTATTTTATTGCCTCAATTCCAGAACTGCTTTGGTCTATTCAGGGATTCAATTCTTCCTGGTTTAGTCTTGCGAAAAAGTGTACAGTGTCAGGATTATCCATTACTTCTAGATTTCTGTTTATTTTTGCTAGAGGTGTTTATAGTATTCTCTGCATGGTAGTTTGTATTCTGTGGGGTCGGGTGGTGAATCCCTGTTCATATTTTTGTTGCGGTCTATTGATTCTTCTCTCTTTTCTTTTTATTAGTCTTGAGTGGTCTGTCAATTTTGTTGATCTTTTCAAAAAAACCAACCCTGGATTCATGATTTTTTGGGAGTTTGTGTCTCTGGTCTCCTCAGTTCTGCTTGATCTTAGCTATTTTCTGCCTTCGCTATCTTTTTGGTGTGTTTGCTCTGGCTTCTCTAGTCTTTTTAGTTGGATGTTAGAGTGTCCAATTTTAGGATCTTTCCAGCTTTCATCTTGTGGGCATTAGTGCTATAAATTTCCCTCACACCTACTTTAAATGTGTCCCAGGATTCTGGTCCTGGTTATGTTGTATCTTTTGTTCTTATTGGTTTCAAATGACATCTTTATTCTGGCCCTTCGTTTCGTTATGTTACCAGCTATCTTCAGGGAAGCAGGTTTTCTTTCCATGTAGTTGAAGCGGTTTTGGATTGGAGTTTCTTAGTCCTGAGTTCTGTTGATTGCACTGTGGTCTGAGGAGACAGTTTGTTATAATTCTCTTCTTGTACATTTGCTGAGAGTCGCTTCTTCCAATTATCGTGGTCAAATTTGGATAAAAGTGTGATTTTGGTGCTAGAAGATCAATATATTCTGTTGTTTGGGTGAGATGTTCTAGTAGGTGTCTATTTAGGTTCTGCTTGCATGCAGAGATGAGTTCAAGTCCTGTATCTCTTGTATCTTTCTGTTCTCCGTTGATCTGTCTAATGTTGACAGTGGAGTGTTGAAGTCTCCCATTATTATTGTATGGGAGTCTAAGTCATTTGTAAGTCTCGTAGGACTTGCTTTTATAATTCTGGTGCTTCCTGTAGTTGGGTGCGTATATATTAGGATAGTTAGCTTCTTCCTATTGAATTGGATCCCTTTTACCATTATGTTAAATGGCCTTCTTTGGTCTCTCGTTGACTCGTTTGGAACTGGTTTTAAAGTGTTTTATCAGAGACTTAGGATTGCAACCCCTGCCTTATTTTATGTTCTCATTTGCTTGGTAGATCTTCCTCCATCCCTTTATTTTGAGCCTATGTATGTCTCTGCATCGTGAGATGGGTCTCCTGAATACAGCAGACTGATGGGTCTTGACTCTTTATTCCAGTTTGCCAGTCTGTGTCTTTTTAATTGGGGGCATTTAGTCCATTTACATTTTAAGGTTAGAATTGTTATGTGTGAACTTGATCCTGCCATTATGATATTAACTGGTTATTTTGCTCGTTAGTTGATTGCAGTTTCTTCCTAGCCTCGATGTCTTTACATTTTGGGCATGGTTTTTGCAGTGTCTGGTGTTGCGTTGTTCCTTTCCATGTTAGTGCTTCCTTCAGGGTCTCTCTGTAAGGCAGGCCTGGGTGGTGATCAAAGAGCTCTTCTGCACAGCAAAAGAAACTACTCATCAGAGTGAACAGGCAACCTACAGAATGAGAGAAAATTTTTACAATCTACTCATCTGACAAAGGGCTAATATCCAGAACCTACAAAGAACTCAAACAAATTTACAGAAAAAACAAACAACCCCTGTCCAAAAGTGTGGCAAAGGATATGAACAGACAATTTCTTCCAAAGAGACATTCATACAGCCAACAGACACATGAAAAAATGTCCTTCATCACTGACCATCAGAGAAATTGCAAATCAAAACCACAATGAGATCCCATTTCACACCAGTTAGGAATGGCAATCATTAAAAAGTCAGGAAACAACAAGTGCTGGAGAGGATGTGGAGAAATAGGACACTTTCTTTACACTGTTGGTGGGATTGTCAACTAGATTCCAACCATGATGGAAAACAGTATGGCGATTCTCAAGGATCTAGAACTAGATGTACATGATGACTCAGCCATCCCCATTACTGGGTAATATACCCAAAGAGATTATAAAATCATGCTGCTATAAAGAACATGCACACCGTATTGTTTATTGCGGCAGTATTCACAATAGCAAAGCTGGAATCAACCCAAATGTCCCTCAGTGACACGGACTGGGTTAAGAAAATGTGGCACATATACACCACGGAATACTATGCAGCCATAAAAAAGGATGAGTTTGTGTCCTTTGTAGGGACATGGATGCAAGCTGGGAAACCATCATTCTTTAGCAAACTATCACAAGAACAGGAAACCCAAACACCACATGTTGTCACTCATAGGTGGGAACTGAACAATGAGATCACCGTGGACTTGGGAAGGGGAATCACACACCGGCCTATCCCATGGGGGAGGGATTGCATTGGGAGTTATACCTGATGTAAATGATGAGTTGATGGGTGCTGACTAGTTGATGGGTGCAGCACACCAACATAGCACAAATATACATATATAACAAACCTGCACGTTATGCACATGTACCCTAGAACTTAAAGTATAATAATAATAGATTAAAAAAAAAATAGGTAAAATATGCGATAACCCAGAGATAAAAGGGCGTTTTCAACTTAGCGAGATTTGGAAAAGGCTTCACAGAAGTGGTAACTCTTAGAGTGGAATTTCAAAGGCAAGCAGAATTTTGGCTGTAGGAGGGGGAAGGCAAATATTATAGATAAAGAGGGAGAAGGAAAGGGGTTAAGCAGGAGGGGGAAAATGAGGAGGAGGAGAGTGAGGAGGCATGGCATGTTCTGTGAATTTCTGGCTATTGTAGCCATGTTAGTAAGTTTGCAGTCTGTCTGTAGTGTCAACGCATTGAATATTTGTGAGGAGTAGAAAAGTTAACATTTATTACATGCTTACCTTGTTGTTGTTTTGTTTTGGATTATCACACGTAATATTGAGGCAAAAAGAGGTTAAATAATTGCCCCAAGTTCATATAGCTAATCCGTGGCAAAGCTGGGATTCAAATTCAGATATCGTGATATCAAAACTCACATTCCTGAACACCACTCCAAGGGGTGATGTAGCCAAACATTCAAAGCGGAAGGAATTGAATGAAGATTAGATATCAATGCATTTTTTTTTCTCTCTCTCTCTCTCCCTCTCTTTCTAGGCCTCTTTGCAACAAAATAGACCAGTAGCTGCAGTCAACTGCAATCCATCATGATGTTTCCCTTGGCCAGAAATGCACTAAGCAGTCTCAAGATTCGAAGCATTCTGCAAAGTATGGCAAGACACAGCCATGTAAAACACTCACCAGATTTTCATGATAAATATGGTAATGCTGTGCTAGCCAGTGGAACCGCTTTCTGTGTTGCGGCATGGGTTTTTACAGCCACTCAGATTGGAATAGAATGGAACCTATCCCCTGTTGGCAGAGTTACCCCAAAAGAGTGGAAACATCAGTAACCATCACAGGTGCTGTAATGACAAAATTGTTTAAAAAAACAGCTTGTCATGTAAGCACTGTACTGCTTATTAAAATATAGCACAATTGAAAAAATAAAATATGTTTTAAATCTTTAAAAAGTCATTGCAAATGGTCATTTTATTGCCTGGAAGCCATACAATAGTAGTGGGTATAGATTACAGGGGATTATGAATAGCAAATATTTGAATGTAGGATTAATAAAACATGTATTCCTCTGGTTTAGTGACTTACACCAGGTATCTTTCAGTGAATATACACACATATGTAATTTATAAATTAATTTATTTGGCTAGAAAATCCTGTTGAATCTTCCTTGAAACTCTACAGATGTTTCTTGACTTGAGGTTACATCCCAGTAAACCCACTGCAAATTGAAAATGTTGTAAGTTGAAAATACAGTTAATACCCTACATCCCCATTGTAAAGTCAAAAAGTTGATCCATTGTATGTCCAGATGCTCCTCAATTTATGTTACATCTACATAGATAAACCCCTCAAAGTCAAAAAATCATAGGCTGAACTATCCTAAGTAGGGGACTATCTGTGTTCAGAAACTGACCATTTTTCACGTCCTTCATCATTCCCACCCTGGTCTGAACTGTTATATTCACTGAGATTATTATAAAAACTTTCTAACCAGCCTTCTTGTCTCTGCAGTTTCTGTCCTGCAAACCTGCCCCCCGCCACCACACACAATCTTTTTTCAGCTCATCAGCCTGTGTTCATTTTAAAACATAGTCTAGTGATGTGACTCTTCATTCAAAACCTGATTCTCATTTCATTCCAGAGTTAATGCTAAAGTCCTTAGAAAGGTACACAGGTCCCCTCAATGCCACACTGGCCAGTTTACCTCCTGCATCAACAGGTTTCTACTGGCTCCTCCCTCTGGGTGGCATGCACTTCTGGATTCTATATGACTCTCTCACACCTTTCTGGGTTTTGTTCATGTCATCTTTTCAGAAGAGGTCTTTATCCTTTCTAAAACTACAGCCTTTATTTTGGCCTGGCTTTCTCTCTCTTGCCTCTTTACTTTTTTCTATATCACTTACATGATCTCACTTAATATATATATTTATTTATTTATTTGAGATTCAGTCTCATTCTGTCACCCAGGCTGGAGTGCAGTGGCACAATCTCAGCTCACTGCAACCTCTGCTTTCTGGGTTCAGAAGATTCTCCTGCCTCAACCTCCTAAGTAGCTGGAATTTACAGGCACCCGCCATCAAGCCCAGCTAATTTTTATATTTTCAGTAGAAATGGGTTTTCACCATGTTGGCCAGGCTGGTCTCGAACTCCTGGCCTCAAGTGATCCACCCGCCGCGGCTTTCCAAAGTGCTGGGATTACAGGCGTGAGTCACCGCACCCAGCCCACTCTTAAAATACATTTAACTTATTTGTTTATTGTCTGTGTACAAAACTCCATAAAAGCATAGGTTTTGCAGATTTTTTTATGTTTATCACAGGACTTGGTAGCTTTCAACTAGTTTGAATTAATGCATTAATGAGTGGCTTTAGGTAATTTGGAGTCCCCATCAGTCTGAAATTAAGAATTTGCTTGTCATTGTGGGTTGCAGTGATTGTTGGAAGGCATATTAGTTCTATATTGCTGTTTTGCAAATTATTCCAAAACTCAGTGGCTTTAAACAACACTTACTATCTCATAGTTTCTGTGGGTCAGATTTGAGCATGACTTAGTTGGGTGCTTCTGGCTCAAGATCTGACATTTCTACAATCTCTGGCACTGATCATCTCAAGGCACAACTAGGGGAAGAAGCACATTTAAACTCACTCATAAGAATGTTGGCTGGCCTAATGATCTTGCTGAATGTTGACTGGAACATCATTCCTTTGTCATGTGGGTCTCTCCATAGAGCAACTGATGATACAGTAGCTGTCATCACTTAGAGTGAAAGAGGGTACCCAAGAGAGGAGCTTTTTGTAACCTAATCTTACACCTGACATATCACCCCTACCACATTCTATTCACAAGAAATGAGTCATCAAATCAAGCTGATACACAAGGGGAGGAAATCATACAAGGGCATGATTACCTGATGGCAGGAACCACTTGGGACTATCCTGGGGAATATTTACCACAATTGGCAGGACAGACCTCCTCCTGTTACTGGATAACCAACTTCAATCAGTCTGTTTCTCAAGCTCTGTTATATATTAGTATCGTTATTCTCTAGATAGAGATCATTACATGTGTCCAGCCCCATTTTTACTATTTGAAAGTTTCTCTGTGGTCCCTCCTTGATGTGAAATTGGTAGGTCTTAGGGATTGCCCATTTACAGTATTTCTAAATCATTCTTCAAACTGGTTAAATGGTTTACAGTCTCACCAGCAATATAAATAACTTCCTCTTGTTCTACTCCAGACTTACTCTTAAGAGTTATCAAATATTTTAATATTTTTGTTCTTTCGATGAGTGTAAAATAGTAGCTCATGGCTGGGCGCGCTGGCTCACGCCTGTAATCCCAGCACTTTGGGAGGCTGAGGTGGGCGGATCACGAGATCAGGAGTTTAAGACAGGCCTGGCCAATGTGATGAAACCCCATCTCCACTAAAAATACAAAAAATTAGCTGGGCATAGTGGTGGGTGCCTGTAGTCCCAGCTACTCGGGAGGCTGAGGCAGGAGAATGGCATGAACCAGGGAGGCTGAGGTTGCAGTGAGCTGAAATCACGCCACTGCACTCCAGCCTGGGCAACAGAGCGAGACTTCATCTAAAAAAAAAAAAAAAAATGACCCGAGCGTGGTGGCATGTGCCTCTAATCTAGTCCCAGGTACTTGGGAGGCTGAGGCAGGAGAGTCGCTTGAACCCAGGAGGCGGAGGTTGCAGTGAGCCAAGATTGCACTACTGTATTCCAGCCTGGATGACAGGCTGAATATTTGATAATGATATTTGAGATATTATTATTTCAATAATAATAATAATAATAACTCATGTTTTAATTTGTATTTCTCTGATTACTAATGAGGTTGGATGTCCTGTGTTAGCTCTTTCCTTTCTTCTATTTTGTGATTTTTCTGTTTGTTCATGTTGCTGCTTTTCTATTTGGTGTTTGTCTTATTCATAGATTTTTTTTTTTTGTATATTTTGCATAGTAATTGTATCAGTCAGGATTTAATGAGTGAGGCAGAACCAGTATGAATAGTATGCAATACAGGATTAATTATGGGCATTAAAATGAATGCAAATATGGGAACTGGGGGAGAACTCTTTACAATCCTATTGCCTCCATGTCTGGTGTTGAATGGTTCTCAGTAAAGGAAGAAAGCTGCATGTGAAGTAGCGAAGAGCTAGTACCAACTTAAATTGGGAACACTGAAATCAGGAATACAAATTGGAACGTGTGCCTTTTTCTCACTTTATCTAAGATGACATGGATGACCTGCAAGAGAAGTTGATGCCCTTCACTACAGACCTGTATATTCAACTGGCCCAGAATTCAAAAAAGCTGAAGGAGAACAATTGGTGGGATTTTGAATAGCTGTCAGTGCAGCAGGCCAGAAGATCAGCAACAAATTGCATAAGCTGCCACAGTGTTGATGCTCTATGCCCACTTTCTAAATATAAAATGGTTGGTGTTTTGTGTTCATCTTTCCTATCTCATACATTTTTTCTTATTCTTGTGGCCAACTCTAATCTGAAAATATAAGGGAAGGACGTAAGTAGTTCAAGCTTAGCAAAGTTGACACTCAAAGAGCCACAGTAATCTACCCTGTGTCAACTCCATATCGGTGTACATCTTTTCTAAACATACCTATATTTCCAACAAAGACAGTAGTAACACATGCTTCTACTAGCATGACGGCAACTTTTCCTCATAACACTAAAAATATACTGTTTCCCTTTACCCTCGGGGTGGTACTCTTAATTTCCAGTTTAATGACACCATTGCTATGATCCATAGTTGACAACTAAGACTTCTAGAACAGCAAAGCCTAAAGTAATGGAAACAAGAAACAAACATTTCTCTAGTGGATCGCAAGGGATAATAGTGAAAGGAACCACTCCCATATTCACCTCTTGATTCCCGGATCTATAAACCTTGGGTCTGGGAAAATAGCACCATGTATTTTTGCTTATTGAGAGCATATTCAGCATTCTGGGAGACATTACCTCAGCCTTGCAAGGTGGTATTATCCATCTGTTACTGTTAACTAACACTTCAAAAGGTTATTACTCCATTCTGTCAGTGATGGGAAACATGGCAATACCAGTGACTCCCATAAACATGAGCTGATTGTTGCACTCATTTGCTGTAAAATTAGTTTCTTCACCAAAGTAAGTGATGCATGGTATACCATGATGCTGAATAAGGCATTTTTGCAAGTCCGTGGATTTAAGAAGAGTTTTAGGGAGAGTAGGTAAATCTACACACTTAGTAGATGTACATTCATGCGAAAACAAAGTGCTGCCTTTTCAACAATGGAAATGGTCCAATGGAATCAACCTGACACTGATGGCTGCATGATCCCCTATCTTTCCCCAAGAAATGGTGCCAAATGGAGATGCAGTGTTGGTCTGTCCATTTGGTAGGTTGGGAACTTAGCAGTGGCTATAGCCAGACTAGCCTTGATAAGTGAAACTCCATGTGGTTGAGCCCATGCCCAACCTCCATTTCTGCTGACATGGTCATTTTGTCTCTGAGGAATTGTGAAAACAGTATTGCTAGGAAAGGCTGATGGACATAAGGATGGGTCATCTTGTCCACCTGATTATTGAGATACTCCTCTGCCGATTATCCTTTTGGTGAGCATTCATATGCAACATGAGTATCTTCCTCTCTGTGCCCATTTGGAGAAGTCTGTTCACAAAATCCATTCCCAGACTTCTTTTCACACATTTTGCAATAGTGCCTTTCCTAATTTCCCAACCATCCTGTCAAGCCACTGGCTGGAAACCATGACTCAGTGTAGAATTGTATCTTTGGCCATCTCTCCCTCCAGGCAAAATGAACAACCATGTGCATTATTTAATGCAC